ATGGTATGTTTCCATAAGAAAAGGGAGCAGGGAGTAGCAAAAGGTACATTTCCATCAGATAAGGAAGCTGAGAGGGCAGAAAGGTGTACATTTACAGAATGAAGTGAAGGGGGCCTTCATTCTGAGAGGGAGGAAGAAAGCCCAGATGGAATAGGAGAACAATAAGTAAGGGAGAAGAAGGAGGGAACCTCACCTATTTCACTTGAGGTTTGCACTCTAGAGTTGCTATATTAACCAATCTAAGGAGGATAGTGACCAATCAGAGGGGATATCAAGGCACAAAGACCTGCAGCCTTTATAAACTATGGAAAAAAGGGACTCAGTGGGATTCTTTTTCCTCCCCATGTGGGAGTCTGTGCTTGTCTCTCAATAAAAGCCCACCTTTTACTATGCCACCTTTCGTCCGTGGTTTCATTCTTTGACTCTACCTGACAAGAGTCCAGGAACCATTCTGCCCAAAGGAACACCACATAGCAGAAATGTTTGATTAGATTCTAACCATTCTGATGTTATGTATTTCGCTTTGTTCTTTGAAAAAAATCACTGGGCTTTGTTCTTTCTGGTAGATGTTTTAGGCTCCTTGCAGGTCAGGTTTATTATTCCAAATATCTTATTCAGTATAGGTGTAAGTGACCTTTGCTATGTGGATGGTTTGCTAAAGCCAGCTTCTTCTGGGATTTCTCCTAAATGTTACAGTCTCCTGCCTGGTTGGAAGTAGAACACATTCCAGCACTGTGTGAGCTCTGAACTTCCCAGGTTCAGAGAGTGTCTTCCTTTGCATGCTTCCAGCATACTCAGCAGCAGGCTCCAGAGAATTCTCGCAGCCCTGTGCATATAGTGAAGGTCCTTTCTCCCTGGCTCTTCTTCCTCGCTGATGGATTTTCACCTCCCCAATTACTAAAAGCTTCAACCTTCCTGAACTTCAATTTCTATTCCATTCTTACTCTCCAGTAATGTACTGATAACTTTTCATGGTTTTTCTTTACTAACTAATATCAATTTAAAAAATAAACCTAATTACATGTAAACTAATAGCATGAGTGTAGAAGCAGTTGATAAATTTTCACTTCTAAATCAAAGGCCATTATTTATTCATAAAAATTCATTTGTGGTCACAGAAAAATAAATTATATTTAGGAAAAATATACAGAAACTTTAAAAGCAATTTTCAAAATATTAAGAGCAGAGAGGATTTTTTATGACAAATCAGAAACTATGCTTAATACACATTTTTTGTAAAACATTGTGAAGAGAAGGAAGTGCAAGATTGAGGAGAAAAGAGAAGACAGTGAGGACAGAAAATTGTGAAGAAGAAAGAAAGGACATATGAAAAAGTAGAAGCATGAAGTGAGAAGAAATAGGTGGAATAGAAATATAGGAAAAATAAAGGAGAGACAAAAATGAGTGTAAAAGAAAAGAATCGTATATGCAAAATAAAGAAGATAAACTATTTAAACAGGAAAGAGAACAATAGTAATGTGAATCAAAAGGACTTTTGAAATATTAAAGTTAAAATGTACATATTTACACCTTATCTCAAGTCACTGAGAATTTTAATGAAGGGCTTCTTTTTTATCATAAAAGATCCACACTAATAAAACAGAAACATGCAAATTGACCATGCCTCTGCTACGCCCACCAGCCAATCAGAGTGACGATGCAAATTAACCCAACAAAGATGGGTGTTCATTTGCATATGAAGGCAGGAAGCAAAGACTGAAGACAGCAGAGCAAAGACTAAAGACAGTGGAACAAATACTGACGACAGTGTAGAAGGAAGCCAAGTGCTGCAGAAGGGATTGAAGCTTTGGAGAAGGGAGTGAAGCAGCAAAGATGGGAGGGAAGCGAGTTGGAGGCAGAGATAGGAGGGAAGTCTGCCAAAGCGGACTCCGCTCCCTTTTCTGCTTTGCTCTGGCTGCAAGAAGCCCTATTCTTGCAGGAATCTTCATGCAATGGGCCTCTAGCCTATATATATTAATGTATATATAGTATAAATATATGTATATGTATTAACATATAAAATTTATATGTATAAATATATATGTGTATATATGTATAAATATATATATATATATATATATAAGCATTAGGAGAACACTCAAGAAGAAAGAGAAAAAGAAAAAAATCAAAATCACCTGGAAGGCTGCCAGGTAGATACAAGCATTTTATTTAACATTTGAAAATATTTTCTTCCTGAGATCTTCTATTCATTTTCAAATAGTTTTGTTCAAGTGGCATAAACATTTGTACTCCTTAATCTCTTAGAAATGTAACATAAACATTCTTAAAGAGTCCTGGATAGTGAGAGTCAGCCTATGGACTTAAGCATCCGGGTTTGTTTTTGATCAGGGCACATGCCCAAGTTGCACATAGCAGTTAGACATATATAATGTTCAATAGTGTTTCTGCAACAATTCTGGTACCCCCATGACACCACACATAGTTATTACAGCATAGGGAATATTCCCTATGTTCTACATTTTGTGACTCCTTTGTAACTACCAATGTTTTTCTTCCTCCTTTCATTATTTTCACTCAGCCTCCCAAGTCCCCTCCCAACATGTTTTTTTATCATAGGGGGAAACTATTGGCACCTTTTTAGAATAATTTCATAACATTTTAATAAAAGACTATTTACAAATATGTGGACAATGGGCAAAGGATCACAAGAAATAGTGCAATAACCCAGGGCTTGTATGACAGTGGCTTCCTACAGACAAGGGGAGAGAGCAGTTATTTGAAGATGTTTGTTCCACAGGGACCTCTAGCCATGAGTTGTAGCAACCTAGGAGACTACACAGGGATAAGGCTGGAGGAATTGCTACACCAGAATCATTTGCTTATACCATATGATCTCACTAATATGTAGAATCTAATAAACAAAATGAACTGACAAACAAAATGGAAGCATGGATTCATGGAACCAATTGACCAATACCCAAGGGGAGGTGGTGAGATTGACTGGATAAAGAAGGTGAAGGGATTAGCTAAAGAGCATCTATGCATACCTCATGGAAAAGAACAATATTTTGGTGAAGGCCAAGGGATGGGGAGGTGGGGGTGGGTGGAGTGAGCAAAGAGGGGAAAAAGGGGATACCTGCAATATGTCAACATGAAACAATTTAATAATTTTTTTTAAAAATCACTTTCTCCTTTCTTCAATCACCTACATGATTCATTTCACTTTAGCTAAATTCAATTGGCATTCAAATTACAATAGATCCTAAGTCATTCATACACACTATTTTTGGGATAGAGATCAGAGTTAAGAGTAATCTGGAAGGAAAAATGGAAGATATTCAGCACACTAATGTATATTCCATTATGGTTTATTTATTAATTTTCTCTTTTGTTATTTATATATGCTTTTCCAAGATCATCAATAGCCCTGTTATAATTTTCTCTAGAGTTATTTTCTCAGCATAAACTATTAAAAAGAAAAAAAAGTGAATAAATAGATATAAAAGATATATCTATAATTTTATGATTTATTAAAAATATTTGTTATAATTTATATTTCTACCAGGAAGTTAAGAGAATCTTCACTATATCCTCATTAGCAATGCAAATTTTGATGTTATCAATTTGTTAGAAAAAATACACAGCAGCATTTTACTTTGCATTTTTTTGGTAACTAGTGGGTTTAAAGTTTTTCTATGTTTATTAAAAATTTTCATATTTTTATTTCAATTTTCTTTTTATGCCATGTTCTAATTTATGTGGCCCAAAAATGAGTTTTTAATGCCTCAGTAGAGTATCATCAACTAACCAGAAGATTTATTTTGTTACAGCTGAATGTACATTTCATCTTAATAATTGTCTTTTGAAGGGAAATTTAATCACCAGACCATGTTCACAGCCCCTTTTTATTTTCTTGTCTAGTATAAAAGGTCTTCCTCTGTTCTCTAAAACTGATATTTGTAATTAAACATTGTACTTTTTATGCCTGCATCTTTTTTTAAGTCTAGGCATTTCAGTAAAACTCCTACTTAATATATAAGTATGTGAGTTGAGAGAGAAAAACACAATCACACAGAGTCATCCTGTAGTAGTGATGACAAACCCTATTCTGGAGTCAGATTGTTACATTGGATTCTTGGCTCTGTCACCTACTAGTATGACTCTAGCCAAGTTATTTAACCTTTCTGACTCAATTTCCTCTTCTGTAAAATAGGATAATAAAATTAACTATTACAGGAGGTGTTCTGAGGATTAAATAAAATAATAAATATAAGCCTAATTTGTTAGATTATAGCATCCTACATAAATTATTAGAGAATAAGATTATTGATTAAATAAAAATGTTAAACTGGAAGAAGGAAAATAAATATGGAAGAAAGTAAGAAGAATGGGTGACAGGCAACAATCTGGTTATTCATTTTTAAGATTAGTTCAACCATGTATTTAGCTAAGCACTCTACTATAAATTCTTGAACATATTGCCCTTGTCTTACCAGCAATGTACATCCAGCCTCGGTCATATGGCTTTCTAAAATATGTGCTCACCAATAAATAATGGACAGTTGGATAAATATATTAAACAATAAATTATATATATATTGCCATGAATATATGGAACAAATAGATTAAAAATCTAAAATAATATGTTTTTCATAATTTTACCAGAATTACAAAAAATGTGTTGCTCTAGAGGAATACTTTATATAAGGCCCAGAAAAATGAACCCAGAGTACCAAGGGTTAGTAGAATGAAATACTATCCCTAAAGGAACCTCATCAGTCCCTCTTCATTTAATAAAGACATAGTGGACACCCTATTTCAGGGATATCAGACCCAATTCCAGTTGTAACTTGGTTCAATCCACTTGCTTTACTGTTGCTTTTGCATACACAGGTCAAGTTGATGGTTCTATACAGCTTTCCCCATGCTGGGAACTCCTTTGAATAAAGTTCTAAAGACTTACACTCAGAATGAATAATATCATACTTAAGACCAGCACCAACCATGACTCTTTTGTGTTGCTGTGTTTATGTACTTACTTGCTGGATTGTCCGTGCTATGTAGGCTGACCATTGGGACCCCTGGACCTGGATTTTAAAAAATATATGTATAAACATTTTAAAGAAATTTAGGTAATAATTATGTAGTGAAACAGAAGCAAGTCCACTAGATTTCATTCCTTTCTATGGATATTTTATTCAGAAAATAAGAACATAGGGTGAGATGAACTATTTGCATAGATTAATTTTAAGATTCCCCCTTATCTAAAATGCCCCATGCGTCCATATTTCTATAGTTTTAAGCCAAAATTATGCACCTAACTTTCTCTTTCTCTAGTCTCTTATAGATTAGTCACAGATATTCAGAAAGCTGGTTCATGACCTTTGAACTCTCCATCATCTGCTCAAGCAAAATTAAATTTTATTTACCCACTCAGCCAAGAAAGAAAGAATCTATGCATATTGGAATTATTTAATCCACAAGATAAATAAAAATTAGAGCTGATAATGTATTATTTTTTAAAATATGTTAACTGGAATCACTAATTATTTCAAATATACTAGTTAATTCAGATGTAAGCATAAGAAACTTATCTTCTATGATTCGATAGAGATGAATCATAAATTAGGAAATTCTATCTAGAGGTCTAATGGTTTTTCCCTGGTGACATCAAACAAGTACTTTTCTTTTTTGATTACTTCATTTCAGACATCAAGAGTAAAATTAATTTAAATGACTTAAGTATTGATTCATTCCATGTGTTGTCTTAAAAAAGGACAGTCTAGGTTACCAGCTGAACCAGTAGCCCTCAATTGATAATGTTATGGGAGGACAGGTCTCCCATTTCATCACTGGGAAATGTAGCGTTCTATTAAAGGGACAATGATTTCTATCAATATAACCTAGCGATATCATGCTCTGTCAAAGACTATACTAATTCTGTCTATAGATAGAATAAATAATTGGGGTAAGTATAATTTGTCAGAATTGAAAGAGGCCAGACCCAGAAAATTAAATTTCTGTATATACTAAATATTTTAACAACTTAGCCATTATTTTAATGACTATTGTTTTTCTAAATATAGTTAAGTTAGTTTATTATTGTGGCATGACTTTTAAAAATCATTAATGTTTAAATAGTCCTTTCTGATTCTGTATATTTACTCTCTAATCTTATTTCTAAATGAAGCTTATGAATATAATTTGCACCACAGTAAATCCATAATTTATAACTTAAAAAACATATTAAAAATAAGTCATATAGCTACAGAATAATAGTTATTAATGATAGTAATAAATGTTGACCATATAAATCAATAAAACAAACTTTATCAGAAATTATCTGTTACCTTTACAGAGTAATAAGAAATGTTGATTCATGGGACTAAAACTGGCATCAAAATATGTACATTGTTCTTTCATAAAATTACATGAAATGCATTGACGATTCAATAATCCTTCAGTAGATCCACTGGGGGGGGAAAAACATGTTAGAAATGCTACCATTCCAGGTAACTTGATTTTGTGGCATCTATATTTTAATGTTAACATTAATAAAGGAGCTCCAGCATTACTTACATTGAGGTTCCTTATAAATTATGACTTGCCATAAAAATGGAAAGTCAATTTCCATTCCAAATGTTAAGACATGGGCATTTTTCTTCTCTATAACAAAATTATAACTATGTACACCTGTATGCTTATAAATAAAATTAAAAAGAACTGACTACCACAGAACTCAATAAAAACTTATCCTTAACTATATTTCTCTGTAGGTATTTCTTTGTAAAGTCTTAAAAGTAATTGCCCATAAAGACTAACATAAAGTCATTATCAATAAACTTTAGTTGAAAGAACTAATAAATGTTTTCACAAATCACACACAAAATATCAAGCTCATTATTTACTCAATTTGACACTCTGAACACTGGAATTTGATATTAGTGTGAAATTTTCCCCCACTAAGTATTTGCACTGAATTTTTTGGTAAAGAAAGTTATTTTTATGTGTGTATATATATATATATATAATTAAAAACCATACATATTTTGCAGCATGGGAGGGGTAAGTACAAAGAAAATCAATCATCTTTTTATTTTACCAATAGTGGTGCTTAAGGTCAGAGGGGTTGAGATATATATCCAAGGTTAAATTTCATATCTATAATTATTTATTTTATAATTTATTTTATAAATATAGATGAATCATAAATTATCTATGCTAATAGATAAAACAACACTGTTGATGATACATTTAATGAAATTTATTTGAGAAAATATTCAATTTTATTTTAAAATTAAACATGATTTGGGCTATGCAGTTGGAAATGAATCATGGTCATGCTGCTTTTGATGTGCAATATGCTTCAGGCATGGGGCTGGGGGCAAGGACAGGGTGTTGATGTGGGCATCAGAAGCACAGAAGCAATCAAGTACAGTTCACAGAGTCACGTATCATAGCTGAAGCATACTGAGCTCATCATAATGATCCTTTACTAATAAGGGTGATTAATATATACTAGGCACTTAAACAGTAGCCAGTTTCACACACACACACACACACACACACAAATATATGTATGTATATGTATATGTATATATATACATATATATAATCATGACATTTGCCATTTTAACCATTTTTAAGTGTATATTTCAATGTCATTGACTACATTCCCAATGTTGTGCAACCATCACCACAGAGAGATTAAGAATGTGTACTATCCATACTCAGGTATTTAGTGACATTACTAGAATTTAAAACCTGTACTCTAGACTCCATATAACTTGTTGGTATTTTATCATAATAGAGAGGTTTATGTTGGTATTTTCTCATAATTTAGGCTTTGAGATTATTGAAATAAGAAATGAAAATTGTAAGATCAAATGGTAGTGGTGCTGATTCTGCAGAGGTGTCTAATCCCATAAATTGTCAGCCAATGATTATTTTTATGGCCCGGACAAGACATTGATTGAGTTTTCTGGATTAAACACTAACATTATCTTACAGTCAAGCCAACTGGCATTTGATGAGCTGTTTAAGGGGGAATTTATTGGTACTACATTTTCTTTATAGCACAGCCTGCTATGCCAGTACCAGTCACAGAGAGATTGACTCTTCTGCCTCAGTCACTAAAGAGATAAGTCAAGCACACAAATCTAAGAAGTCATTGTGATTCAAATCACATTTTAAGCTAATAATGGGAAGAGGAATTGAGGGAATTTCATTGGTTCAACCTGGCCAAGGCTGATCTTCTGAAACTAATTTTTCCTTTAAGACTTTTATAAAATGGGAGAAATAAAATATTGGTCAAGTATTTCCACATCTAAAGGATTGTTCATGACTCACAATACCATAGTATATTTTAAGGAAGATTTGCTTCAAGTAACCAGAAGGTAAAAAAAAAAAAGTGACCAGTACTTTATTGAAGACATCTGAACCAAAGTGTCTTTAAATAAACAGCTAGCAGTTCTTCCTTGAAAGTCATTATGATTGAGACTATAGCTTCTAGACTCTAAGAGAAAAGACAAACGATATGAAAATGACATATTGGGAAGGGGTGATAAAAAGGAAAGGCTGGCTTCAGATAAAAGCAATATATGCATACATGAGAGTATATGGGTGAAATAGAGAGAGTTAGAGCACTTTAAATATTTATTTTTTACCCTCAAAGGAGAGTCTAGGCTACTTGGTAAGAGTCAGTGGTGACACTTCTTCAAACATGATGAATTTCCACTGAGAAAATGCCATGGCAGTTTTGACACTTTAAAACTGTGAAATGGAAATTAGAAAGTATATATATAAAGTCTAGAATTAATAAGTTGCTTGCCAGACAAAAACAACAGTCATTCTTGTGAGTTTCTGCTGAAGGCTTTCTGAGTGAAGAGGCATTTCCATTCTGTATGGGTATGACCTTAAGCCCCTTTTATGAATATAGCTTTCCATTTGGGAAAATTGGCAGATGGAAATATGCCCCATCCATGGCTTTATTTTGGTAAACAACAAGCAGTGCTGGCTTAAATAACCTTAATAGATTGCACACACTATATGGCTGGGAGAGGGGAGGAGGACAGGGGGAGAAACTTGTGCACTGGATCCAGTCTATAAGTGTTCACAATGCTTTCTTTTGTTCCGAAATAAACTGCAAGTGTACAATATTCACACACCGAAAGTGCAAAATGAGGCTTAGTAGAAGAAAGGCCAGCGGCGAAATATGTGAATGCCTGTGATATTGGTGGTTAAGAGAACCAAGCCTCAAAAAAAATTTTTTTGAGACTGTAGAAGCAGGTGAGGGAAAAAAAATAAAGGAGCAGCAATATTGTCTGCACTCTCATTCTAACCTTGAGGATCATAAAGGTCAGAGGTGAGGGTCTGGACCAAGAGTGTGAAGGTCATGCAGAGTTGGCTCTCCCCAAGCCGTTTAAAAAAAACAAAAAACAAAAAACAAAACACACACACAAAAAAAACCTCCAGAATGCTTCACCCTCTCATTAAGTTGTGCAATGGCCATGGAGAAATCTATCTGGGTAGAGAGATGCTGTCACACTGCTTACCTGTACAGCTGCCTCCCTCTGGGAGAAGACTCCGTGCTCAGAAAGTAACTGCCCAGGAAAGAAAACAACACAAGCATCAGGCACAAATCAACATTTTCCATGATGTTTTCACTTGAATTTTTGCACTGTCCAGAATATAGAAGTGCTTTTTTGTTATTAACCACAGAACTTTAATACAGGACTTAGATCCATTTAGGAAATACATACTTTTCTTAAAATTTTATCACACGTTTTATGATCTCTCTCAGTCTGTGTGTGTGTGTGTGTGTGTGTGTGTGTGTGTGTGTGTGTGCAAGTGTCTGTATAAGTGTCTCTTCAGGTGATGGATAGAGAGAGTCTTTAAAGAAAAGGTTGCTACATGGCCAAGTTGTTTGAACTACCACTACCGTTGGCAAAACATAAATCTGGCAGAAAATACTGCAGTTGACAATCCTGACTTCAGAACCAAAACATGCTCACATTTTTTGAGTAGTTTCATCATACGCCAAGATTTTTATCACTTCCCAGTTTCCTGATGTCAGATGTCGCACAGTAATTTGCTCACTTTTACTCTGCAAACAAATAGAAATAATTATTTTTTAAAAAATTTAAGGAGTATCTCTCTGGTTAACACAAGAGTCATAACTGCTTGTGTCACTTTTAATTCTTTAATTATCAACTTCTGGTTTCTCATTTACTACCTAACCAATGTACTCACATTTATATAAACACTAGAGGCCTGAAGCACGAAATTCGTGCACGGGACTTTGTGTCCCTCAGCCCAACCTTTGCCCTATCCAATCTGGAATCACTCAAGGAATGTCTGACTGCTTTAAATGGGCAGTCGGACATCCCTCTCACAATCCAGGCCTGTTGGCTCCCAACTGCTCACCTGCCTGCCTTTCTGATTACTTCTAACTGCTTCTGCCTGCCAGCCTGATCACCCCCTAACCACTCCCCTGCCAACCTGCTTGATGCCTAACTGCTCCCCTTCCAATATATTTGCCCCTAACTGCTCTCCCCTGCAGGCCTGGGTCTCCCTCCAACTGCCCTTCCCTGCAGACCTGGTAGCCCCCAACTTCCCTCCTCTGCTGGCCTGGTCACCCCTACCTGCCCACCCTTGTAGGCCTGCTCCCCCACAATTGCTCTCCACTGCAGGCCTTGGTCACCCCACAACTGCCCTTTCCTGAAGCCCAGTAGCCCCCAACTTCTCTTCCTTGCAGGCAGGATCCCTGACAACTGCCCTCCCCTGCTGGCCTGATCGCCCACAATTGCCTCCCTTGCAGGCTTGGTTCTTCTCAACTGCCCTACCCTGCTGGCCATCTTATTGCGGCCATCTTGTGTCCACATGGGGGCAGACATCTTGTGTGTTAGAGTGATGGTCAATTTGCATATTATTCTTTTTTTAGATAGGATAGACACAAGGAGGGTAGTGTCTTTATTCTTATGAGGCAGGAAAACCATTGACAAGCTATCTCTAGCAGAGGATCATCTGTGCATCCTATGGTCATAGGCTGTCATCTTGGCATTTGGGACAGACATAGGCTTTTGATAAGTTTCAACTAAATGATTGACAGCTGTGAGGTATGGACAGCTTTAAATAAAACATTTCAGGACAAACTTTATTCCGAATAAATAGTAAGGGTTGTATACTTTTGACCTTCTCACCAAATGCTATTTTCAATCAGCAATTTATTTCTGAGAATAATCTAGGTTGATGCTGATAGCCATAGTTTACTTTCATTGTTACATGGTATTTTATTGTATAACTATAGCATACTTTTATCTGTTGCTTATTTTTTACAGCTGTTTCCACATTTTTGCTTTTTAAAACAAGTTGCCTAAAACAGTTTTATCAATGTCTCATGATGGCCTAGCAACAAGAGACAAACAACAAGAAATGGGATTGCCTGGGCAGAGGATATAATTAATGTCTTTCACTCAACTAGCTAGTGACAAAGCATTTTCCAAAGTTATAGTCTACCAGTAATACTGCTCCACATCATTCTCACTTTTGCACCAGAAGTTCATTTCATCAGGCTAATGTTTTTTTTTCTTCAAAAAATTAGTATGAAATTGTAACTCATTTGTTTTGTTTTTATGGAGCAAATATTCAGACCTACAGGAGGTTAGATGAATATCATACAATTCTATCTAGATTTACTAAAAGTCAACTTTTGAATATATGCCCTCACTTCTTTTTGTTTGCTTGTTTGCTGAATCATTTGGTAGTAATATATATCAGGCTATTTCAGCTCTAAATACTTTAATATATATCTCTCAAGATTAAAAATATTTTTCTAATATAAGCAAATTGCATATCACACCTATGAATAGTCACATTTGTATAATCTAAATACATATCCTATATTCTAATTTTCATAACTGATCTAAGCAACTCAAGTAACTTTTTAGATTTTATATATATATATATATATATATATATATATATATATATGCAAAAAAAAACAAAAAAAAAAACCTTCCTATGTGTTGGTACAAATCTGTATTTGACATTTACCTAAATTGTCTATTTCTTATTCTAAACATCTAGCCATTTAAGGTCAACAAAAAGCATAAGACTTCTTAACGTTTTATATACTTTCTGTTGTTGCATTAGAACACTTTACAAGTATTTGTTGAATAAAAATATAAATGCAAAGATGAAACAGAATTTCTGCGACCTGAGACAGGCATTTCCCAAAGGAATTTTGAAAATTACACAGTTTATTCCAAATTCTTACAGGACAACCTCCCACTGATGGTTCACCTTACTCATTTCAAGATCCTACTTAGAATGATCCAATGACAGGACACTAACATTTCAAGGTGTTAATTCACATTTTTTTACCCAAATTCAAGAATAAAATATCTCCGGCGCCGTCCCCGGCAACAGGCTAAAACAGCGCAGGAGCCTGCGGAGAACAAAGGGGTGCTACAGGCCAACTAGCTGAGCTTCCAGGACAAGGAGGAAGAAACCAAAGAAGTTCTCAATGTGAAGAAATCAAGTGAGAGCAAAAGATAGTAAAATTACTTAAGAAAGAATACAAAGAAGTTCTTGGAAAATCAAAGACTAAGTCAGAACTTAACTCAACAGCCAACATTGCAACATAAATGTGTTTTTAAAAAAAAAAAAAAGAAAAGAAAAAAAAAAAGGACAGAATGTTGGAACAGTGGCGGCTAGGCCTAGGGTGGCCAGGCACATGGCAGTGGCAGCCAGGCCCGGAGTAGCAACCGCCAGGCCCCAGAGCAGCAGCAGCCAGAACCAGAGCATCAACAGCCAGCACTGGAGCAGCCAGACCTGGGGCAGTGACAGCCAGGCCTGAGGTGGAGGCGGCCAAGCCCAGGGTGGCCAGTCCAGGAACACCCAGACCCGGAGTGGCCGGGCCCAGAAAAGCTGGGCCCAGAGCAGCCGGGGTGGGAGCAGCCAGACCCAGAACAGCAGTAGCCAAGCCCAGAGCATCCAGGCTGGGAGTGCCCAGGCTCGGAGCGGCCGGGCCCGGGGCAGCCGGGTCGGGTGCAGCCAGGCCCGGAGCAGCAGCTGCCAGGCTGGGAGCGGCCAGGCCCGGGGGAGCAGCCGGGTCGGGTGCGGCCAGGCCCGGAGCAGCGGCTGCCAGGCTGGGAGCGGCCAGGCCCGGGGGAGCAGTCGGGTCGGGTCCGGCCAGGCCCGGAGCAGAGGCTGCCAGGCTGGGAGCGGCCAGGCCCGGGGGAGCAGCCGGGTCGGGTGCGGCCAGGCCCGGAGCAGCGGCTGCCAGGCTGGGAGCGGCCAGGCCCAGAGCAGCAGCAGCCAAGTCCAGAGCAACTGGGTCGGGAGAGGCAGTGACCAGACCCAGAGCAGCTGGTTGTGGAACAAACCAGAGCAGCAGAGGCCAGGCCCTGAGCAGCCAAGCCCGGAACAGCTCGCTCCTTGCCTGCCCCTGCCCCACGGCTGCCTCTCAGACATGGCTGGAAACTTTTGCGGGAACTTGAGGGTCTGCTGAATCAAGTGATGAAGGCTTAGATCTGGATGTGTTGAGTTAGTATAGGGCTGGGGTGTTGATCTGTGAGTGCCTTGGGTGGAGCCTGGATGAGGCTGGTTGACCTATTGGGAAATGTCTTTTGTGTGAAGTGTATCATTGGGCATGTGGAGGTATTATTGATATGAGAAAATGCTAAGTAACTGATTTACTATCTGAAAAGGGATTTACTATCAGGGAAAGGGAGGGAGGAAGAGACTGAACATAAACTGTGCACCTATGGATGAGGACAATGGGGGATGGGGAGGGGGCGGAGGGTGGGGTGGGAACCTGGTGGAGGGGGGAAGAAAGGAGGAACCTTTGTAATAATATGAACAATAAAGATTGATTTTAAAAAAAGAATAAAATATCTCAAACATTAAAAAGTTAAACTTTGTTCAATGTATGTACTTATCTGGAGATGCTTTCATTTCACAGATTTCTTGGTTGATTATATTTTCTTTTTTTCAGAGAATGTGTGTGTATGTTTTGAACACAAAGGCCAAATTAAAAGTGATCATGAGAAAATATTCAATGCTTTGAAATTCTGAAACCAATGTTTTTAAGAATATACTTTGTGCATTATCCACTTCAATCATGCATCTAGAATCAAATCAGGATGCTTCTAAATCTAGAACTAAGAGAACTCTTGCTAAAATTCATTATATTGGCCATGCAATCTTTAGATTTTACTTCAAACATATGTAACTGCCTACTCATTTTCTCTGTACTAGGGAAATCTGAGCTGAGGAATAAGTCTGTACAACATTTCACATATAATGGCATAGAGTATCTTTTATAGTTATATGTCTATAGTTATAAGGGATTGTATTATGGCAGTGAGCATATTAAGTTTGATCTGGACTCTATATATAAAATCCCAATGTCAATCAGAGCATTGTAGACAATCATACTGTAAATCCAAAATACATATGAAGGTACTTAACTACTTTTATGAGGGGGTGTCTATACCTCAATTTTTTCCCCTATCCACCTTCAACAAGATAATTTAACCATCTTCAACCACAGGCAAGATAATTTAACAAAACAGGAAAGAATAATCATTTTTACTCCAAAATAATCATTCTTTCTGTGTTACCATGCTATTTATTTATTATATTAACTTGTTTGAACAGAAACATTGATTGTGACAATTAAATCATAGTAGACTTTTGACAAGGACAATAGGACAATATACTTTAAGTTGAACTCATAGTTCACTTTTAGTTTTAAAATAAACAGCAATAAAATGAATCATTTCATTCATTCTCAAAAGAGGACTGAAAATCTAGGATGAAGAGAAAGAATGTGTTTTTATTTAGGACATTAGACATTAGGTACCTCTCTTTTAACTGGTACAGATTTGATCTTGCTCACTAAAATTAAATACTAATTTTATATTCCTATTTACAAATTGGAAATGCATTGGTATCAGTAAAAGTTTAACAATGCACTTGATTTTTACTTGATCACACAGTTCTTTCAAATTTCTTATATTATATTCTGTTTAACTTTTAGAGCACCTAAATAAGGGAAATATTGTAGTGCTTAAAAATAGCATGCTTTAATTTACTGTCTATTCATCATATGAGGTGAACTAATTGTTTCAGACAATGTCCTAATCAGATACAGCAGTGCAATTTAATGAAAAATTATATTGGGTTGATTAGGTGGTAGAATTATGGATGAGGCATTCTATTTTCTACAGTATTTGCAATGAAAAAACATTCAAAATTGTTTCCAGTGAAATCATCAGCTATCATGATCAAAATGTGGTAATGGTGTGTAGAGGAAGCAAGTGGATCCACCAATATAATTTTTCTCTTAACACAATTTGGGAAGATGACAGGGCAATCACTTGTGCTTATGAATGTGGACCACTTAACAAGATTGAAACACAGCTTCTTATCTCATACTAGAGGCCCAATGCACAAAATTCATGCACTCGGGGGTTTCTTCAGCCGACCTCTGCCCTCTCACAGTCCAGGAGCCCTTGGGGGATGTCTCACTGATGCTTTAGGCCTCTACCCCATGAGGAGTGGGCCTAAGCCAGCAGTCAGACATCCTCAGTGTACTGGGAAGGCAGGAGAGGCTCCCACTACCACTGCTGCACTCGCCAACTATGAGCCCATCTTCTGGCTGAGTGGCACTCCTGCTGTGGGAGTGCACTGATTACCAGGGGGCAGCTCCTGCATTGAGTATCTGCCCCCAGGTGGTCAGTGCACATTATAGTTTCTGGTCGTTCTGCCATCAAGCCAAAACCAGCTCTCCGACATCTCTGGATTGCAAGAAGTCCAGGCCAAGGGACCCCACTGGTACATGATCAGAGCCAGGGATCAGGGAGGAATGCAGGAGGTTGGCCAGCCAGAGAGGGTTTACGGGAGGGCTCCAGGGCCTATCTGACCTGTCTTGCTCAGTCCTGATTGGCCAGACCCCAGCAGTAAGCTAACCTACCAGTCTGAGTCTCTGACCCCTGGTGGTCAGTGCATATCATAGCTAGCAGTTGAGTAGCCTTAGCATATCATTAGCACATTTCGATTTGATTGGTTGAAGGGATATCCAGACAAATGGACACTTAGCATATTGGGCTTTTATTATATAGGGTGTGAGAAAAAAAAAGTGGCCATTTCTTTGAAGAATAAAACCTTTCTCCTAACTATTGGCTGCATTGCAGGATGTAGGATGTAATAGTTTCATATATGGTAATTCAGAAGTTAGAAATCTAAATAAAAATGCTAATAAATAAATAAATAAATAAATGCTATGGGGTATATGGAAAGGGAAAATATCAGAAGTGATCAAAAGTTTAATAGTATGAAGTAAAAGTTGTTTTGCAGAGATCCCAGAAATCAACCGAAGCCATTACACTCCAATAATATTTGACAAATGAGGCAAGAGCATACATTGGAGTCCAGACAGTCTCTTGAATAAATGATGTTGGGAAAATTGGACAGATATATTCAAAAAATGAAACTACACCATAAACTTAAACCATACACAAAAAATAAACTAAAAATGGAAGGAAAAATAGACTTAAATATAAGTTATGAACCCATAAAAATCCTAGAAAAACCATTCTCAGCAAAATTTGAGACATCTCCCCTAACTATATGTTTACTGATACAGCTCCTAGGGCAAAGGAAACTAAGGAAAAAAATATACAAATGGGATTTTTTAAAAATAAAAATCTTCTGCACAACAAAAGAAACCATCAATAAAAATTGGACAGTGATACATCAAAATATATAAGAAACTGATACAACTTAACAAAAGGAGGGCAAACAATCCAATTTAAAAATGGGCAAGGACCTAAATAAACACTTCTCCAAAGGAAACAAAACAAACGGCCAAGAGACATATGAAAATTTTCCCAAAGTCACTAATCATCGAAGAGATGCAAATTAAAATAACAATGAAGTATCACCTCACACATGTTAGAACGGCTACCATCAACCCATCAAGAAATGACAAGTGCTGGTGATGATGTGGAGAAAAGGGAACCCTAGTGCACTGCTGGTAGGAATGCATACTGATGCAGCCGCTGTGGAAACCAGTATAAAATTTCAACAAATTAAAAATAGAGCTGTCATTTGACCCAATGATCCCACTTCTAGGAATATATCCTAAGAAGCCTGAAAACACCGATTAGAAAGGATATATGCAACCCTATGTTCATAGAAGCACAATATATATAAGATATGAAAACAATGACTTTTTATAATTAGATAAACTGTATGAACTATTAACATTCACTTGAAGCTTAGAGAGAAACACACACACACACACACACACACACACACACACACACACAAAACATTTCCCCTCTATAGTTTGGGAATCCATAAAAATATAACTGTACTATATTTTCTTATGTGGGTATACTATACTTTATTCAACTATTCAATTTCTGATGGCCATTTAGGTTGTTTCAATGAATTAAAACTTTTATAACTCTTTGGAAGTATTACTTGTACAAAAATAGGTGATATGTATTTATTGAATAAACAAACCAACAAAAAAAAAACCCTCTAGATTTTCTATAGTCTTTGAAAGTAGAAGTTAGATACTTTTTATTTATTAAATTCTAAATACCAAGGCCCTCAACTCCTAGCACACTTTGTATCTTGTTGAATTCTGTTGGATGTTGAAACTGTTTTGTGAGAAGGCACAGTTTGGATTATGGCTATGGGTTAGCATTCCTTTTTCCTATATCCCAAGTTGGATATATGGCTGGGCTCCCAGGCATTACTTGTAGGTTCAGAAAGGCAACCAGACTTGGGCCTTCATGAACATGATCTCAATGAAACCAAACCACAGAAGAAGCACTCACCTGGACGAGGAACATGGCTATGTGGTGGAATTCCCCACGGCCCCCTTGCTTAACAGGAACTGTCATAAAGAATCTGCTGCCATCTCTAGAAAACACGGGCTCCTCATCCTGAAATGTAGAAGGGACATGACAATCTCACATGGCACAGGAGACTTGTACTGCCAACTATTGCTAAAGCGGGCAAGGAGTAGACCAGCGTTTATTTTAGAATTTGTTTGGAAAATGGTCAAAAAGTGTATGATGATCTATATCTTAAGTGAACTCATGCATTATGTGTATGTGTGTGTTTAAGTGATGGGAAAGATAGGATGTTTCTTAAACACAGGAGACAGATGATTTACAGTTAAACTAAAGACAGTTTTTAAATTGGTTCAAAAGAACTTCCATATCTTTTATATAAGATATGGTTATGATTAGCAATTTATTCTTAAAAATAAAAATAATATAAGCATCTTCACCAGTTTATCAAAATAATTTGCTTTTATTTTATTTATTATTTATTTATTTATTTATTTATTTAATATATTTTATTGATTTTTTTACAGAGAGGAAGAGAGAGGGATAGAGAGTTAGAAACATTGATGAGAGAGAATCATCGATCAGCTGCTTCTTGCACACCCCCTACTGGGAATGTGCCCGCAACCAAGGTACATGCCCTTGACTGGAATTAAACCTGGGACCTTTCAGTCCACTGGCCGATGCTTTATCCACTGAGCCAAACCGGTTTCTGCGCAAAATAATTTGTTTTTCATTTAGAAATTTTTATAATATAATATTTAATATATTTTTCTGAAAATTTCAGCAACTCTGCATTCTTGAAGGAAAATTTCTAGTGGAATATACATAAATTTATTAAAAGTAAAAACTCAAAAAGCCACAAAATAGGAAGGAATCTGTTGAAAAACATTTCATTCATATCCCCCATCCTTACTGCTCACCCCTGCACAAACCCACATGCCCAGTTGATGTTTTTTAAATTAAACTCTAGTGGCATGTTAAATTAAGAAAATTATTTTTTATAATTAAGTTATGGAAACTACACATATAGATTGCTTTCTCTTGCTTCAGGGGGAACATTAAGGAAATGGATTTACCTGAGGAAAGATTGTGTTCTTTCTTATTGGATTACTGAAAGGGATTATACATATGGCATAATGAAAGGCTTTGATAGGATTTCCTCTCTAGGGCGTTAAATGGCTTAAGGCCCTTTTTAGATGATCTGGCCCTCCACTCTCTCTGATCTCATCTTCTTCAGTACTCCTGTTGCCTTTTTGTACTTGTTTCTTCTAAATAGCACCTGTGTGCTATTTATCCCCTATCTGGCTCTTTCTCTAATCTTTCATACCACTGCTCTACTTCACCTTATCAGAGAGGGATTTCCTGATTACCTTATGTAAAGGGTGACCAAGGAAGCCAGGTCATTGAACTCTGTAGGAATTTCTTATGTGTGTGGGTGTTTAGGTGCATAGCAGGTAGAGTGCCTATAGAATCGAAGTCCCATGGTACAGGAACCTCTATTCTCCATTGCTTTAGCTCCAGAACCTGGAACAGCAGCAGTCATAATTGTGCTTAATAATTATTTCCTGAATGAATAAGTAAATTAATAACTATTTTCATAATATCAAGAGTCTCATTCTATCTTTATTATTAAGGATATCCATTGATAAAAAATATAAGAACAATATTTCACTTGTGTACTTCATGGACAATTCATGAAAATATAAGACAATATACTAGTATGTGAATAATTTAAAATCTAAAGTAACATGCAATTCAAAAGGTGGGAAAATTGCATTGCTGGGTATATAATAAATACTTAAAAGGTACTTGATTCTAAATCACACTTTTCAATTATGAGATAATTTATATTTCATTACTATCTCCTGTGTTATATTTCTCTTTCTCCTTTTTTTTTTTTGTAAATCTTATTTTTTTGCTTAAACTCGGGAAACAAAATATATTTTCCAAGTTTTTCTAGTTAGAGAGTATCTCCTAGTTAAGAAATCTCTTCTCAGATATTCTAAACTTTTTATTCATCTCTTCCTGGCTTGCAGTGTACTTTCTTATAGGCTTGACTTTTTTCACCAGGCAAGTAATAATTAGAGGAATTTTGCAATTTTGTCTTTTTTAGCTCTATTGTCTAGGACATAATAAGTGTCCAAATCATAACTAAATAGATAATGCATGTGTACAATGGACAAAAATATTATATGTATATATATATATATATATATATATATATATATATATAATCACATTTAGTCCAACCTATTAGCTCACCCTCTACTCAACATTCTCCATTTGTGGTTTGCTTCAAAACTGAAGTGCATTTTTTATACTATGAGAATATATGAGCATCCTCCCTTCTTATATTAGCCCTCCAAATCCGGTGCTTTAAAAATAATTCAGTAAAGACAGATGAGGACTCTAATCTTTAATGCATAGTCGGGCTTAAAAACCTGCAGCAGTAGGTGGTTCTAACTATGAACATGCTACTTTAGGCAGAACCCTCTCCTACAATCAAGTGAAGAAAGTGGAGCCAACATCACTGTCAATCCTCACAACCTTAAGCAAGTCAGTGTTTATGACACACAGGACAGTGAATTGAGGATACACTTCATCCCTGACCAAACAGTTTATATACTGGTTTTCCCAACTCTAAGTCTCTTGAAGCTAGGGCAAACATACCCACTTCTCTGCTCTTCCTGCTCTCCAGAAAGTAAGCATATAATGATTATGGTGCTTCACCTCATAACGACTGTCATTTTCATCTTTTAAATTTCATCAAATTTAAATTTAAATAAAAGTATTAATGAAATTTCCTTAAGCTTCTGGAGAAAAAGTCAACTGTGACAAACTATCATTTGCATTTTCTTACTGAATAATTAATTGATCACTGGCTTCTTTGCTTAAAAATTGTTTCTATTAAACATTCATGAAACTGGTATTTAAAATGTAGATAAACAGCTGAAACCGGTTTGGCTCAGTGGATAGAGCTTCGACCTGTGTACTGAAAGGTCCCGGGTTCGATTCTGGTCAAGGGTATGTACCTTGGTTGCGGGCACATCCCCAGTAAGGGGTGTGCAAGAGGCAGCTGATCGATGATTCTCTCTCATCAATGTTTCTAACTCTCTTTCCCTCTCTCTTCCTCTCTATAAAAAAATAAATAAATAAAATAAAATAAATAAAATAAAATGTAGATAACAAAATACCAAAAATGCATGTATTATGTTGGTGTACATTAGACAGTTATGAATGTCACTGGCAATAAAAATTATAGCAAACTAGGTTTAATACTCGGGACAATTCAGAGTACACCAATATTCATATATTATTGTTTTTCATTGTTTTTATTTTCAGTATTTAAATTAATTTTGTGAGAGTTTATTTTTTTATTTTTTATTTTTTAAAATATATATTTTATTGATTTTTTACAGAGAGGAAGGGAGAGAGATAGAGAGCTAGAAACGTCGATGAGAGAGAAACATCGACCAGCTGCCTCTTGCACAACCTCTACCAGGGGTGTGCCCGCAACCAATGTACATGCCCTTGACTGGAATTGAACCTGGGACCTTTCAGTCTGCAGACCGACGCTCTTACCACTGAGCCAAATCAGTTTTGGCATTTTGTGTGTGTGTGTGAGAGAGTTTATTATTGGCTACAAAAATCAAGGTTTTTGCCCCAGTTTCATTTTGCACATTGTCTAAGAATAAGCAATTGATATTAATGTAAATAGTAAATATATAGCTGATATATACGTATGCCTACATGTGTATAATTCAACAAAGCAAAAGTTTAATCTATTTACCCTTTTATTTATTTATTCAGCAAAGATTTATTGAACTTTTAACAAGACTCTATATTAGGCATTTAGTTTACAATGGAAAACAAAACAAAAAAATGAATATCCTACCTCTTCTGGTAAACTCAGTAAAGAAATCGCGGAAGTAATTGTGTATTACACAAAAATTACACTTGACTTTAAAATAAAATTTATTGTGGGAAGTGATTTTGTTAGAATAGTTAGAGGAGGTGACTTCTTAAATAGGTTATTTATGGTAAGATTTGTAAAATAAGAAACCTTTATATTAGAAAGTAATTGAGGGACTTCTCTTCAGAAAAAAAAAATGGTTCATATAAAGGCCTCATGAGTGCAAGAGTTCATGTGTCTAGAATGAAGAAAACAATTGAAAGCAAGGTATGGCACAAAGCTGAAAATACTTTCAATGTAATTTCTTATAGACCCTTTAAAAATGTTGATCTTTTTCTGTAAAAGAAAAGGATAGACAAAAAAAATGTTTTGGTTGTAAGACTGAAGTATGAGGCTGAGTTGGGTATCTCAACAAGGTCATTTAGCCAGCCTGCAATGTGAGGAACAGATAGGCAGGTGCCTTAGGGGTTGAGCGAGCACCAGTTAAAAAAGAATTGCAGAACCTGTGGTTTAATGCTGGACAGAGTTTGTGAACTGTGGAAAAATAACATGAGATCTTTGAAAGTAAGATCAAAGGTGTGGTGAAGAATATATGCAGGTAAGGTTGAGAAAGAGTTTAAGAACAGACCTAAGATTTTAATAGCTGATGGATAACTCTGTCCTTGACTCCTATGATATGAAAACATAAGACTGAATAGAAAAGAGATGTGTTCAGTTTGTACCTGTGGAGTATGCAATTACTTTTATAGATTTAGGAGGAAATGCCAAGCATGAGTGTAGATGTTTCAGAATCAGGCAAGCAAGTTGGTTGGAGATCTCAGTGTATGGATGTTAATTGAAACCATATATATGGATGAGAACTAGGAAAAGAATATAAAATAAAAGATGACTGTAAATGAAAAAAAAATAAAATAAAACAAACCAAATAAAACACTCCTCTTTGAATAAAGTAGTGATTGAGTTACTGTATTAGTAAAATGGGTTCAGTCATATGTGGATGATCTACTTGGTTTTACTTCTGAAATGTCCAGTATGAGACCATGTTGTAGAGACATTTGGTACTTTTTTATTGCGATCATTTAGATTCCAGATTCATTTGTTCCACAAACTAGAACTGTGGGCTAGGATATATCTAATAGAGGAAGTGCTCATATAAATATCTCCACAGAACCAATTTATTGGCAATCTGAGCATGGTTAATGGTTTCTTTTTTTTTTTTTTCTTTCATCTGCATGAAAGTTTATTTATATGAACGATCCCAACAATGGATGATTATTATTCTGCAACTTATATCCTATAATAAACAAGAAATATTTTCATAAATATGCAAAAAAATGCTAAGTCATAAATATTTTCATGGAAAATCCTCAGTTAAACATGTAAAACCTTAAAATTATATTTCTAAAATAACTTTGGAAAGGTATCAAATTACAAATGGGTGAACTGGATGTGCACAATGGACAAAATGTGACATAAAGAAACCAAATATACCATACCTGCTTGGAGAGCCACGTATCTGATGTCATCTCATATTTCTGAAACAAAATCATTAACTTTATGAAGCATCTAAAGACCAAATGAGCGTACATAAATTTAACACATTTTAAAATGTTATTTCAGGCATCTTTTTTTCTCTTGCTCACACATGGTGAAATACTAGAAATTAAACTGAATAAATAATTGTAAAATTGGGATTAAATGATCATTTAATTATAAAGACTTTTCTTTAGGGAACTCCTTAAGAATCCTCAGTAGTGTATGACTAGGATAACAGGTCATTTTTCTGCTCTCTTTCCTCACTGCACTCAAGCTGTTTCAAACCACTAGACACTGTCTCTTTTCGCCTCTAGGCATCATCAGGAAAGAAAATTATTAAGGCCTTCAAAAGAACTGGGCAAATAGCCAGGAATAAAACTAAAAGACATTGAAAGACATTCTTTCAATATTCAATCACCTCTTCACCATAGTCATACACATTTGTAATGACAAAAATGCTATGTTCTTTTAAAATAATATTGCAAACAATAAAAACCAAAATCATATTTCAAAAAGAGAAATTAGATTAAATTGATCTCAAGATGAATATTTATAGATTAAAAAAGTTCAGTATCAGTTTACATCTAGTAATTTATTAAATATCTTGTTTTCTGTAACAAAGTTATTCTGTAAGAAAAGTCTGAATAAAGCAAAGATTCATTTATAAAATGTAAATCCAAAATTTTCTTTATCTTGATTTTTCCTTATATGAACCTCAGCAATAATCCATATCCTATCAAATAACACAGAAATATGCAAATTGACCGTATCTCTGCTACAGCCACAAGCCACTCCCACCAGCCAATCAGGGGAGAGTATGCAAATCAACCCAACCAAGATGGCTGCAGCCACGAAGAGAGCGGGGGGCTTGAGTTTCCCCAGCAATGGAGGAAGCCAAGCTTTCTGCCTGCCCTAGCTCAAGGCTACAAAGTTTAAATTACAGAAGATAAATAAATCCCAGCAAAAATGGCTGCAGCCACAGAGCGAGCAGGAAGCTTGGCTCCACTCAAGGCTACAAAATTTCAATGATTGAAGATACATAAATCCCAGATATCAGGGACTCAGCTTCGGTTGCCAGGGGCATGACTAGCCTGCAAACCATGATAGGCCCCTCACACAGGCTGCCCCATACCCCAAGAAAACCCTCATCCTGATCTGGGACACCCTTCAGGGCAAACCAGCCAGCCCCCACCCATGCACTAGGCCTGTATCCTAAATAATAAAAGAGTAATATGCAGATTGACCATCACTCCAACACACCAGATGGCTGTCCTCATGTGGTTAAAGATCCTGCCCCCATGTGGACACAAGAGGGCCACCACAAGATGGCCAGCAGGGAAGGGCAGTTGGGAGGGACCAGGCTTACAAGGAAGGGCATTGAGAGGGACCAGGACTGTAAGGGAGGGAAGTTAGGGGCAAACAGGCTGGCAGGGGAGCAGTTAGACATCAATCAGGCTGTCATGGAGTGGTTAGAGATTATTAGGCTGGCAGGCAGAAGAGTTAGGAATAATCAGGAAGGCAGACAGGCAAGCAGTTGGGTGCCAGCCGTCCTGGATTGTGAGAGGGATGTCTGACTTCCTTTTTAGGCCCGATTCAGGTAGGATCAGGCCTAAATGGGCAGTCACACACCCCTCGAAGGGTCCCAGATTGGAGAGGGTGCTGGCTGGGCTGAGGGACACATAACCCCGTGCACAAATTTTATGCACTGGGCCTCTAGTTTTATTTTTAAAAACATAGAATAAAACATCAATTTTCACTGACTACTAATATCACTAAGTATTATTAGAATCCACGAGATTTCAAAATTTCACATGCAATTACTTATTTCATTTATAGTAGAAAGTAAAATATTTTAACTGTATAAATGGAATTAAATACAGTAGGACACCAATAATGTATCAAATCAATAATATGTTAAGGTTCCCATGTCTATTTCTTTATTGAAGCAGTTTAACATATATTTGCTGTTACCTACATAAATTATCATCCAGTAGAAAAGATGATAAGCTGGTTTCAACTTGCATATATGCATTCCAATGATTTTTATTATTTTCAGCTTATTTTATAATTTATTTTATATTTTTAAATTTGAAATGTACACAAAAATTAAGACAAGGGCATAATAATCTCTCATAGACCCATCACCCACTTCAAAAATTATCAAAAATACACCATCTTTTATTTCTTCAACTTTATCATTAAATTATTTTAAAATAAGTCCCAAATATTATATTATTTCACCTGTAAATTCATCATTCATTTTTAATATATATCTTTAAATAGCAATAAGACAATTATCACACTTACCAAAATTAATAAATATTCAATTATATAGTCCAATATCCAGTCAATACTTAATTTTCCTTGATCTCAACAAATGTCTTCTTTTTTCTTTTACATTAAATTATTTTTTAATTTTTATTTTATTTTTAAATTATTTTATTTTTTATCTTTATTGTTGAAAGTATTATATAGCTTCTCCTTTTCCCCTGTTAACCACTTCCAGCCCATGCTGTCCCCCCCACATCACCACCCTATTTCCTATGTCCATGGTTTATGAATATAAGAATACAAGTTCATTGGGTGATCTCTTTCCACCCATCTTTCCCTGCCTTCCCTCTGAGGTTCAACAGTATGTTCATGCTTCTCTCTATTTGGGTCTATTTTTCATCATTAGTTTATTTGGTTCATTAGATTTCACATATGAGTGAGATCATGTGATAATTATCTTTATCTGACTGGATTATTATGCTCAGCATACTACTCTCCAGAGCCACCTATGCTGTTGTAAATGGTAAGAGCTCTTTCTTTTTTATTGCCACACTAGAAGTCAGATACATGAAGATTCTTGCAAGAATGGGCCTTCCTTCTTTTCCCTGCCGCCAGCACTGCCTTTCCAGGCCCAGAGCTACCTCTTTCCTCTCTAGCCCCACCTTTCTAAGCTGCCTAGTCACCGTGAGTGGCTTGGGCAGTGCAGAGCACTCATGTCGGTGCAAGCATGGTGATTACCCAAGCATCCTATCCTGCCCCAGGCAGCTCGGTGCCCGTGTATGCAAATTAAATGTTTGCCATCTTTATTTGGTTAATTTGAATACTCACTCCTAATTGGCTAGTGGGCATCATGACAGTACAGTCAATTTGCATCTTTCTCATTTACTAGTGTAGATAGTATTCCATTGTGTAAATGTACCATAGTTTCTTAATTCACTCATCTGCTGATAGGCACTTAGGCTGTTTCCAAGTCTTAGCTATTGTAAATTGTGCTATTAAAATAAGGGTATATATATTAATATACCACAAGAGGAGACTCCTTCTAGGAAGGAAACAATGACATTCAAGATCCAACATCATCAGGAAAATTCAAATATCTCATCAGCCCAGGAGATATGAGAGCATGCACCACTGGGTCCCATAAAACATCTACCTGTATGTACCCTGTTTCCCCGAAAATAAGACAGTACCTTATATTAATTTTTTCTCCCAAAATTGCGCTAGGTCTTATTTTCAGGGGATGTCTTATCTTTCCATGCACTAGGTCTTATTTTCGGAGGATGTCTTATTTTCGGGGAAACACAGTATTACATAAGACCAACCTAAAAATCTGGGTGGCATAACACTTTGATATAGCATATAGAAAAATTACAAAGGAACAGGTAAAATGGGGAGACAAAGCAACAATCCCCAAAAAGAGAGAGGGGGAATTACCAGAAAAGAAACTAAATGAAATGAAGGCAAATAATTTGTCAGATAAAGAATTCAGAATAATGGTTAGAAGGATGCTCAAATATCTGGATCAGAAATACAGACAATTCAATGAAAATTATAAGGAGCTCAATGAGAATTCATCAACATGAGTATGAAATAAGTGAAAATGAAGAATAATATAGGTGTAATAAAGAACACATTGGTAGGTATCAACAGTAGACTCAAAGCTGAATACTAAATCAGTGATTTAGAAAACAAGGTAGAAAACCACAAGCAGAGATGGAACTGAAAAAAATTAAAATTCAGGAGGATAGTCTAAGGGAGCTTTGGGACAACATGAAATGAAACAACATCCACACAATAAGGAAGCCAGAAGGAGAGGAAGCTGAGCAAGTAATAGAAAACTTGTTTGAAGAAATAATGATAGAAAATGTTCCTGACTTTGTTAAGAAAAAAATCACACAAGTCTAAGAAGCACAGAGAGTCTCAATCAAGATGAACCCAAAAAGACAATACCAAGACACATCATAATTAAACTGGCAAAAGTAAAAGACAAAGAAATAATTTTAAAGGCTGCAAGGGAGAGATAGAGTTACCTACAAGGGATCTCCCATTAGACTATCAACTGATTTCTCAGCAGAAGCACATTATTCCAGAAGGAAATGAAAGAAAGTATACAAATAAAGGGTCTGAATCCAAGCATATTCTATCCAACAAGTATACCATTCAAAATTTAAGGGGAAATCAGGAGCTTCACAGACAAAAAAAAAGGGGGTAATGGAGTTTATTACCACCAAACCAACACTGCAAGAAATGCTAAATGGACTGTTTTGTTTTAAATTTTTTAAATTACAGTTTTATTTTTTTAAATGCAGTTTCTCTCTTTGATTTTTTTTTTTTTTTTGTAATCTTGTACAGGGAAGCAACAAACTAAAGATTTTAGAGGTTTTTTATATAGATTTCTAGAATTCTTCTCTATTTAGCTCCAAATTTTGTTACTTATCTTTCAAATTTCAACCACAATAGTCTCAAACTGATTCTTCCTGTCTTCTTGAAGCAGGGATTCCTCTGCACCTTTCTTGGGCACCATATCCATTGCACTGTGGTCTCAAAAATGTTACCAATGAGAGGTTATATCAATGCTCATATTTTGTATTAAGTTTATTTCACCATTTATTTTTTAATTCTCCTGATGTCCAACATCTAAAAATAGATTTTTAATATTTTTGTACAGTTTTATATTAAATCAAAGATGCTAGCCTGATAACATTTATTCCATTTTGTCCAAAGACAGAAATTTTGAAAATTCTGTCATTATGTAATTGGGAATCCTTTATCAAGTACCAAGTATATAACAATTTAAATGGATTACAGTATTTCTTCCACTAGGAAATTAAAGTTACACATACAAAATTTACTACAGTTAATAAAAATTGATTACAGAAATCTAAATAGAACCTGATTTCAAAACACAGTAGTTCCAAAACCATTTTTTTTTACTATTTTTACTTAATTTAAGGACAGGGATACTATATGTTATTTTAGAAAAAGAGTCTAAATTACAAATAATTGAATTTTGAAATATATTTAAAGAAAGCATGAAAGAAGCATTCTATATTCTCAAATAAATTAAAGTCTAAATATTAACACTTCCCAAGTTTGAGAATGACATTATCATGGCTTTGGCTGCCCTTTATACTACATTATAAACCTTTAAAAAACCTAATTGTTGAAAGCATTACATATGACCCTCCCTTACCCCATATTGATCTCTTCTAGCCTACTCCTCTCCCTGCCCCAGGCCTTCACCACCCTACTGTCTGTGTCCATGGGTTACGCATACAATTTCTTTGGTTGACCTATTCCTATACCCCTTCCCCCTTCTTCCCTGGTACAATTACACAATGGAATACTAAACAGCTGTAAAAATGTAAAATAAAAATAAATTATATAATTTTAAGCAAACAAGAAATATAAATTATACTCACTTTACTACAAGCACCAGTTGTGGTCTCACAGACTGTGAGGATGGAAATGTTCTGAGGTCGGTTTAACCATCTGACCACTGTCTTGGTATTGCTTACCCATTTAACCATTGTGATATAATATTCTCTAGTTGGAAACAAAATTAAAATTTACATTTAGAGTCAGAGAACTTGTATAGTACCAATAATGTACATTGTTATATGTAACAATAAATTAAACACTATAGATATAAAAATATCACATCATAAGAATTTCTATTTATGTATATAAACATATATTTCAAATATTAAGATATATAAATACAAACACATGTCTATGTATGTATATATCTACATGTGTGCAAACACACATATATTGTATATAATAAATATATATATATATATGCATCTACAAATATACAGAAAATTTGAGTATAAAATTAAAAGTGGATGTTTTTCCAGAAAGAAAATCCTTGAAAAGATAAAAAGAATAAAAATACTAGAAATTTATAAATAACAAGAGGCCTAGTACACGAATTCATTCAGAGGTGGGGTCCTGTTGGTCTGGCCCCAATCAGGGCAGATCAGGGCTGGGCCTGCCAGGAGGAGGAGATGGTGGGAGGTTGTCAAATTAAGGTAGTGGGTGCTGATTGCAGGTGGGATGGCTGTGGGAAGGGGTGTGGCTGGTGGGCCAGCCAGACCTGCCCCCAAATGGGGTGAGAGGATAATTGGGGGCCAGCAGCCTGGGAAGGGGCCATGGGTGGTGGGCTGGCCCTTCTCCTGATCAGAGTGGGAGGGGGAGTTTGATTTGGAATGGAGCTAGCTGAGGGTAGGGGTTGGGGTCCGATCAGGGCGGTGGGTGATCTTTGGGGCGGGGCTGGCTGAGGGAGGGCCTGCAGGCCTATCCTGGTGGGGTGGGCTAATCAGGGGTGGGACTGGCTGGGGAAAGGTTGGGGGGCATTTGGCCAGCCAGCCTCACCCTTGATGAGGGTGGAAAGTCCAATTAGGGGCAGACCAATAGGGGGGAGGGATGGTAGAAGGGGCAGCGGGAGGATGGATGGCCAGCCCCACCCCCTGATCTGGTTGGTTCGCTGGCCACAGTGGGCCTCATAGTGACCAATCATGCTGGTCTTTATGGCATTATGGTCATTGGCTTTATATAGAGAGAGATTCTATCCTTTCCTAATTAGTAATAATCTATATACAAACTAAGTATACTTTTGATAAACTAGGTTCTATTTTATTTCTTTAAAATATAATCAATAATAAATTTAAAAGAAAAGCTTATTCTTAACAATTACTTTTTATGCATAGCCTCCATGTTATTTAACTCTATGCAGAACTATGAATGGTTTGTTTTAATGTTTGTCAGCTATGGGCAAAGGGCCAGTCTCATTGTTATTCATAGTATTGTCTACAATATTTTTTCACTCGTATTTATTTAAAACTGAAGGAGAAGAGTAGGCTATAGAATACTAATTTGGGAGGCCTATGATGTCCTCAGGCTGGTTGTAGATTGGGAGTTTATGTTTGTTTTTTATATTTCTTTCACTGTAGATTCTGTTTGGAAATTTACATATATATGACACAATTCCCAATCCAAACAGAAGAAAATGCAATTACCAAATTGATCCTATTAATAACAACAACATGAAAAGCAACAGCTTTCCAACCAATGTGCCCAGTTTCAGAATAGATGAGATACTTTAGCAATGGCTTGAAAAGTGCCATCTGTGAGTATGATCTTCAAATTAATCCACCTGGTTTTAATGTGACGTGGGGAAAAAATCACCCGTGGGAGAAAAGCCTTGTGAGACAAATCACCTGTCCTTATACACATCTGGGTTAGACATTCAGCTACATGAATCTTACACTTCTAACATTACTGAGTACCTACTGCTTCCTCTAGCACACTTGTTAGCCATCACAGTGAAGATGTCAGTAGTAGGGCAAGCATAACTTATCATACAGTGAAGCCTGCAGTATTTTTTCAATACTCTCATCAACACATTAGTCAGCTTTCACAACCCAGCTGAGTCCCACTTGAAAATTGCCCAGAAACCCAATCCAATCATTGTGGCAAGTTCCCCAAACACAGTTAACAAGGCAAGGCAACTTCAAATCAAATATGCAACTGGTTTAGGATTAATCTTTGCCCAAATCAGTGAGTGTTGCCTTTCTTTAAATAATCATGTCCTGTTTATTTTTACTTTGTTTTGTTTAAAGTGATTTACTAGTATTTTGCGTACATTATAATACCTGGCACTGTGAATACTAAAACATGGAAAATAGAAGTATTAAACTTTAAAAGATTTATCTAGAAGATTTAACATGGAGAAAATGATGGTGAGTACTATAATCAATCAGGAGAGAAAATACTGAATTCTGACAATATATATTTATGATTAATTGGCATAAATGTTCTTTGAATTAAAGAAAAAAATGATATAATTATTGTAAACAATTTACCAAAGACCACAGAATCAAGGTCACATTTATGGAAAAAAATATAAATAAAACTGGTTTTCAGAATATACGATAAAATACATAAAGGTTTTTAAAATAAATAACATCAGCAACAAAAAATTTAAGTATTCATCTTGAGTGTTTTCCCTTTTAAAGTAGCCCTCAAGTTATGGAGTGACAGGGCAAAATAACATTCAACATCACTGGTATAGGCTGAGGACAATGGGTCACAAAGTGGAATAACCAAAAAATATTTCTAATTAGTACAATAATATCACAGAGTAAGGAGAAACCAAAACCAAACCACTACCTCTACTCTTCAGGCTACAGATTTCTGAACATAAACAATAATCACTTTCCCCCCAAAGATGTGACAACACATAGTCTTTGGAAAAATCTGTATGATTCATTATCATAAAAGTGATCTATAATCATTTAATTATTTAAAATCCACACCTGTAAATTCCAATAAAAATATTAAATGCTTGCAATACCTAAGCTCATAGTGTAACAGTTTACAAAATGTTTTTTCTTCCTCAGGTGAGATGAATTGTCTAACTTCCACTGGGCCTCAAGATATTCAAAAAGGGTCATTCTCTTAGTTCTTACCAGGTTATATTCTGAAGCATCAACTCAGGCCATAACTCAAATAAAGGTAAGAGTCTCGCTTGGCTGGCATGGCTCAGTGGTTGACTATTGACCTATGAACCAGGAAGTCATGGTTTGACTCCTGGTCACGGTTTGACAGTAGGGGATGTGCAGGAGGCAGCTGATCAATGACTCTCATCATTGATGTTTCTATTTCTCCCTCTCTTTTCCTCTCTGAAATCAATATATTTTTTAAAAGTAAGAGTCTGGACAGAATTAGTATTAAAGAAAAGTTTCATTCAAGATCTAAATTTGTTTGATAAAGGTTCTTTAGCTGATTCACTAATATATGTTTTTAAATAATGGGAGTACAAGGAAAGGAATTGGGAAGGTAAATTATGCCTTTCTCCCATAAACTTATTATTTTCTTTTCTTTTTAGAACATATGAATGAATTGAAATTTATTTTACGTTCTTTGACATTGGAGCATAAGTATCTGGTTGAAGAATTCTATCCAATGATAGAATTGTGGGGACTTTTTGTGGGGACTTTTTGTGGGGACTTTTTCTATTATATAATAATTATAAACATTAGTTATTGTAACTAATTAAATCAAACAACCAAACAAACCAGAGGACCAAAACAAATGGCCTCTTACCTTCAAATTAAAAACAAATCTTGCTCTTTGAGTGGGGATTAGAGGATACAATTTATAAGTAGCTCAAGTCATGAGAACATCTTTCTATATTCATCTTATTAATCATCCTCTCTATGTAAGTACATATATATTTAATTATTATCATCATAATTTTGTTAGAAATAATTAAATTTCACATAAGAAATTTAAGTATAGTAGAAAAAAAGCATCACAAAAGAAAAAAATTATAATTACACTGACTAATAGAATAAGGTGCATTTATTGATTGGTATTTGACAGATCATGTGAAAATAAAATAAAAATATAGTAGGTGCTTAGATTGCATGCCAAAAAGAGTAAATATATAAATGATTATGAAGTGAATTAATTATTTAGATATTCTGTTATTATAAGCTTAAGCAGCATCTCAAATGATATTGGTAGCTATGAACACAATGCAAACTCCAGTAAAAAGAATGGGCATTTGATGGCCTTAGTGGGGCATAGGAAAGGTATATTACTAATAAATTATGTTATGCATGTTTATCCTTTGATATTATAAAAATGACAATAACTTGGTATTGCTTGGGACTTATAGAATACTGCCACTAATAAATATGGAAATATTGTTACTAGTACTGGTATAAAAAATAATATATTTAAAAATATGTAAAGAATTTGAGTCAGCTTATAAAAATTTAAGACTAACATGATAAAGGGAATACAAAAGACAGGTAAGGGAAATAAGTTACAGAGGGAAGCAAGTTTTACCACAGGTAAATCTCATGTTCAAAATACACTGATGCAAACAATGAAAACACGATCAGTTCACGATCCACGTAAGAAAAATACGTCAGGTTTTCACGAGGACACAAATACTACTCAGATAAATCATAGATGTACTAATGTATATATAGAGAAAGAAAAACTGAATACACACACACACACACAGGAAACAACAGAGAGACGAGAAAGAAACAAAACAGAGAAAGAACACTTCTCACATTGCTCCAGAAAAATCACTGTGCCCTTGTGGACATCTCCAATACATCCCTAAAGTAATAACAATGATACATTTCTTAAGGTAAGTACTATCCTTAAGTTATTTGTGTCCAATATTCTCCATTTGCCAGATCTATTCTCCAACTTTTCCCCTCACCGTTTCCAGAAGCTGGACTCCGCAATGAAGCTGCCTTGACAGCAGGAGTCCTCTGCAGGAACTCAGAGCTTGAGCAGAGTGCTGGGGTATGTAGGACCCACTCTATCAGGCACGGCTTGGCCATGACTGGACTTTCTACCTGCGGGCAGGTCCTACTAGATAGTCCATTTGTTCTTGAGCTGCAGCTTCTTCAGGCTTCACCAGTGAGCCTGCCCCTCACTCCTGAAGTCCTGGGGCGGGAATAGCTTTCTGTTGTTGCAGACTGGTTGTTGATTTCCCATTTGTGAGTTTCCTTTTA